CCCTTCCCCCGTACTCCCCACTCTCCCGCTCTTTCAGCACAACAAATAGTAACCACTGCCTCGCTAGTGCACCGGCTGGAAAAAGCGCTCCTGGGGTTACTCCGGGCGGTGTCCTGGACCACAGACAAAATTCTCCAGGCTACACGAATTCCGTTGATGACCGTAAACAAGGTGGTATTTTGCTGATACTGTACCGCAAGCAAGCGTCGCAAGCGTGCGGGTGGGCTTGCCTACCGTCGCACACCACGGCACCTAACGGCCCCGTGTGAGTATGCAACCCGCCCGCACGACTGCATGCGGTACAGTATAGGCAAAATAAAGGAAGGGGCCGATGGACCATTCAGAGACTTTCCCAGAAAGAACCCCTGCAAAATTTCTACAGTTCCTCGATACAGGAGTTATCCCCACAATGAGCGTTTACGAGGTGACGGTCTCCATAAAGCTAGCGCCTACTACCTGCCGGTTAGTCTAACCCGCCAAACAGCCGTGCCAAGGCGGCGGCCTGCCCTGAACGCCCAAGCGCCGGGGAATTATTGGAGTGAGAGAACTTGACACCCAACGAACGTTCCCTCGCGTCACCTCGGGGGAAGTTCATTGTGGGGACAGGGGGCACCTTCATTCTGGGGTATACTTTTAAGTCAACTGCATACTACTTGTTTTGTTTGGTACGTTTTATGTCATTGGCACTCTCTCCTTATTCGCCCCCCCCCCCTGGATTTCCCTCCGCGGTCACTGTCACTAAGAGCTGTCGCTTGTCGAGAACGGGAGCCATTAATTCAATGTCCTGCCGCTAGATGGCGGGTACACCCAAATGTTTCAGCAGGAAACGAAAACAAACATGTCGTTGTAGCATTTTTGCTTTGTAGTTTTACCCGTAGAGTTGTATTGCACAATGATGTCATTCGGTAAGTCGCGACACAAAAGTAAACGTTCGCCGGTTCCGGCCATTCAGCTCGGCAATCTGGATAAAGTAGTCGCAAACATACTCCTCGTCGTCTGCTCCGCTTGGGCCCTCCGAGAAAATGGAGGTTACCAGCAGGACCGGGCGGTCGCCGCTGTCACTTTTTCAACATGTCTCATTCACGCTGTAGCTGGAGTTGTGCGCTATGGTACGTTCCTACTTACATTTTTACCCCCACTTACCCCTGTTCGGTGTACCTCACTGTATCATTTTAAAGTCATACATTTTCTCGGGGAAACATGTCGTCTGCTGGGAAGCCATACAACCATCATAACATGAGATATAGTTCTGCAACAGTAAAAATCTGTTGAGAGTTGGCTAAATTTTTAACGGTTGTTTTTTTGTTTTTGTTTTTGTTTTACAGGCAACCCACAGTATGGAGAATCTCTGCGCTCCATATACCAGAACACTGCATACTTTTGCCTCACCATTGCTCCCTCTTTTTACGCTGCCCAACTTTCTCTTATGTATCATACAGCGCAGGAATATGCTGCTTTTCTTGTCTTGTTCACCTTCGGCACAATTGCATGTCATTATTTACTAATGATGTGTCGAAATGTCAAAAGTCCCGAAGTGGAAGGGAGTGATCTAGCACTCATAAGACTAATCATTTTTCTCAGTCTAGGTTTGATTTTTGTATTAAGTTACCTAAAACTTAACTACTATGGCATTACATCTGGTTTAGTATTTTCTTACTTCTTTTTTTATCCCAGAGTAGCAGGCACAATTTGTAATATGCCAACAATTAATTTGTTTCTCATACAATTGGCATTTTTCAATTTCAATGCCATGCGATCCCTTCGTGACTAAACCTCAGACTAGATACAAAAGTATTTGTCTCCAAAGCAAAATTATGTAATGGAAATCCTCAAGGATTTGACCCCCCAAAATTTATCATATCATTTGTTGACACTTTCCACCTACCCAGTGGTCCATGTTTTACTATACTTTTCTAGATTAAAAAAAAAAACTGTACAAAGTACAGCCAAATTAATGGATGTTGAACTGTCTTATGACAAGACCAAGTAGTCAGTGTGTAAGATTTTTTTATATCGAACATATGAGCTTGTACCTGAAGTTGTAGTTTGAGTAGCATTGTAACTTGCAGATTAACTATATTTATTTTAAATATATTCTGCCTTGTGAAAGGCAATTTATTTTCCAAATTATGTTAGATTTTCTATGACTTTTATGTGGAGCATTTGTTTCTCAAACATCCATATGAAGTATTTTGTTGTTGTATTTATTTTTTGACTCATTGTGCTATTTGTTGTTTGTTTTTTGTTTTCTTCTTCATGTACCTATAATGTTGTTATCATTCCTGTGATGCATATTTGAGAGTGATAGTGCCATTCCAATAATCAGAGAAGGAACATTTGAATGTGTTAGATGTTCTCAGTTCTCTGAAAAGTTACCCAAGTATTTATTCATAGTTAGAAATATCTAGTGGTGACTTAAGTGTACTTTATCACCCCCATATTATGATATGTTGGGTAAGAAGCCCATTTACTTATTGAGACTAATTCTTATCATTCCATTTTTGCTTACTTTTAATGAAATGTAAGCTGTATAAGCTCTCCCACATATGAACGTTAATCCCATTTATGTTTTATGGATGTATTATTAAAATGCCTTCACAATGTAGAGCATTAAAAGTCAATTACACATACTGCCTTGTCAAGTACAAATCTTGAATTTTGTCATCGAGTCTCTCTTGTTAATTACAGTCTTTCCATATGAAGGCTTATTCCTTTTCTTATGTGAAGTTTTCCTCTGCACTCTAAAATTGGTTTTACCTATGTACTCATGTGTTCATTTGAGACTTTGCTAAATTGTATCTGGTGTGTACGTGTGACTAATAAATTACCCAATTTCTGAAAAGCCATAAATTTGTTTTGAGACCTACGGATTATACAAATGAATAAGGGATAACTATCCTCTGAGGTAATTGATAGGGGAAGAGTAAATGGGTAAAATGGATCTTGCTAGATCAGATTTATTTCAAATAAATTAATACTGAAGAAAAATCAAAGACTCAATTTTAAAATTAGAATTTTGGAGATTAATTTTTAGATTATACATGAAGAGTATGTATAGATATATCTTGTATATAATATAAATTTATTTACACTACATTTTGCTCAAAGAGTGTACCTCACTCTTCCACTTATTCACACGAACACTCATGGTGGGGATTCCTTTCAATCCATTTGGATAGTGAGGAGGCATCTACACCATGAGCTTGAGACTAGTTTTAATGTTAAATTACACAACGTAATGGTCAGGGAAATTGATTATATTGCACACTGAGGCAATTTCCGTCTAAACAGAAAAGATCGGAATGATTGCATTACCATAACAATTGACAAAGTGCAGTAATACACATGAAAACAAAAACAAAAAGCACTATCATTGAAGCTGCAAAGCACGTCACATTGAGGAAACATCTCAAAGGCAATAACTTAGTCAAAGGGGGGTTACAAATAACCAGTAACTCAAGAGAGAATGTTCCAGATCGAACATTTCACTAAAGCTTTCAACTAAGCCGCCACTAATTTTAGTTACTGATAAAGATAGGAGTTACACCACACTTACCACACCGTGTGGATTTAAGTGAAGTAAAGCTACAATCAATTTAGATATTGGTGACCTCAAAGATTTAAATGAGTCAACAATACAATAAAGAAAATTATGGATAAAACTGAACAAAGATTGAAGGAACTAAACAATGTTGGAGACTCACTTAAATCAAAGATGAAAGATTTTAAAATCTGCTGAATGCTGGAATTAATTTAAGAAAGATAAGCAAATGAAGAGAAGCATCAGCTCTGGGTCTGGGAAAATTTAATGAAACAGCAGGATTCAGGTACTTGCATGACAAAGAAAAAAAAAGGCAGGAAGAAATATTATGTATGGTAGCATACCACCAAAAAACAAAAACAAAAAAGGTATAAATTTAGCATTTCTGGACCTTTCCGATGGTAGCATGCAGAACTTTCCACATTAAATTAATATCAGATGAATCAAAGGAAAAAAAAACAAAAACAAATAGAATACGGTAGAACTACAGGGATACAGCGAGTCCTACAAAAACAAAACAACTTACTCTAGAAATATAGCAACAGCTATTTGTTTATATACTCTTTACTAAGACATAATTATCCTAATGAATAAATTTTCAAACATGTAGAAGAGAAGATAAGAAAAGGGTGAGGAAAATCTTTAACATTTATAATGTTTTATATGAAACTACAATGAGTTATTAAATTTATTCTAGGAGCATAAAAAATTAATCAGGATGAACATTCATCCTCTCTACATTAGAAATTGAGCAAGAGTAAGAGTAATTAAAACCTTGTTCAAGTCAAAGAGTTCAAGTGTAAAATGAAGCAATAAAAAAAAATTGTACGCATGGGAACAGGATAGGGAAAAATGAGATGGTAAAACAAAAAGAGATAGATATTAAAGAGTAAGTCTCATGTTACAACAAAAACAATAGGGGAGACAATGCTGTAACTCATAAAATACTTCATACTTTCTCTTCCCCATAACCAGTTAACTGTAAAGAACTCATTGCTCCTTTGATTTTCTTGACACTACTGACAAGAGTGGAGAATATAAGTGTAAGCCTAAGATTAATGAACTGTAAATCAAGCACTCGAATTCAAGAAATATTGACCATACAATTCAAGTGAAAACTGCACTAAGAGGCACTCTTACTGATACCACATTCAATGCAAATACTCATTCACACCCACACACATTTATACAGTAAATTATACAGTAAATCACACTTCAGACTTCTCAAAAGTACAACAACCCATAACTGAGATCATTGCCAAGCAATCTTTCCTGTCATAGGATACAGAAAGGTTCTGAGTAGTAAGGAACAACAAATTCATTTTATCTTATTCCAGTTATAATTTTTTTTAATGGTTTGAGAGGCACACAGAAATTTCACCAAGAAAAGCCACTTGCCAATCAAACCATAACTAAAAAGAACTATCAGCCCTACCTAAAATTCAGTGTTTTTCTATACAGAGTGCTTGGGTTAAGGACATTGATAGAAGCAAAATGCAAAACTGAATTCAAAGGCTGAGTAAAATAGGAAAACTTCCAAATACATAAGCCAGTACGTCTATGATTGTCTCAGCAATGAAATACAATATCTATCAGCATAAAAGCTGTCCCTTATTGCTCCCAGCAGGGCCTCATGATGGTGAGATGGTCTTATCTAACTTAAAATGCTTCAAAATATGGTGCCCGGGTATGCACGGTATACACCCCTTTTGAGACAACCGAAAAACAAGGACAAATCACTAATATGAGACACTGCCTTCACAAAAAAGCAACAGCTTATGTTCTTGAAAATACAGTAGATATTGAGTGACATCGACTGCTGTATTTCACCTCTAACTCCTTGTGTAACATGGCTGTTCCAGAAACAATCATGAACCTGACACAAGTACAGCACTAAAGATATAGTGCTAAAAGAAACAAAATCAGAATAACCTTTATATTGAATCAGTTAGCGTGATGCATGTAAAACCAATTTACCATCCAATATTCTTAAGTTCAACTTTGATCTGCTAACAAACTTTTGAACTGCTTGTGCAGTTACTAGAGGAGAGTGGCGTAGGTCAAGGCGGCCTAACTGGGCACATCGAACTAGGTGATCAAGACTTGCATCAGTAATCCTGGGACAGTTTGATACATCCAGAGATTGAAGGAGTTCAATGGATGAAGCTGGCGGTGTAGTAAGCTGAGCAACCCCGGCATCAGTCAGGCGTGTACAAGATGAAAGATCCAAGACAGACAGCCTTGGAAGGTGTTGAGTAATGTAACGCAAAGCAACATCAGTTATACCCGATCCAGCCAACTGTAAAAACAATTATAGTGTTAACTTATTGATAAATTAGAAGAAAAAACTTCGTTTGGACTATAAGTCAATTGACTTACCTTCAAAGTACGTAAATTTCTTAGTCTAGATTTTGTGTCAACAAGACCAGGTCTTGAATCTGGAGGTGCTGATAGAATTTCGCGAAGAGTGGCATCGTTGAGACCACCAGCAAAGGATATGTCAAGGAATGATAGTGGTGGGCACATACAAGTTCGTAATGCTTGCACCCCAAGAACATTAACTCCTTGCAAGGAGAGCTCACGCAGTTGAGGAAGTCTCATAATGAGCCAGGCCAATTGTCGCTTGCCAATACCAGTCCAATCTAGGACAAGTGCCTCAGGCTGGCGACGTACAATGGCAGAAAGATGTCCTGCAGTAAGAGTCTGAGCCGCCATTGTCATACGTTTCCATAGAGAAGGATCCAGGCTGAATTGTGCCCAAGACTTACAGACAAGTCCACACTCCACCTAGGGAAAAAAAATTATTACTACATCTGATGGATTTAACAGTAAAAAAGATTGAAGACAAACTTGGCTTAGGAATGTACCTTTTCGCGTGGTGTCAAATACTCCATGACAGGAAGAATAACACTCTTCTCCATAGCCAAATTCACAATCGTCTTGGGAGATGGTGAATCCTTGGAAGGATTTGGTTTGGCACCTGGGTTTGGCCTTACAACATAGCCCGACTTTTTCATTGCCTTTGCTTGATGCAAGAGCACTGCTCGCTTCCGCGGGTCCATATTTATACTGCTGCTGGGTGACGGAGGAGTCGCTGGTGAGTCCACAGAAGAGTGAGGAGACATCTTTGGTTTGATGTCAACATTCTGGAACAGAAGTCAATGGTTGAATAAAATTTGAAGATGTACACTGACAGGTGTAAAAATTTATTCATAGAAAGAAAAGTACATACATCACTACTTTGACTGTCACTATCACCAGTATCAAGAGGTTCGTGTTTTGGCTCTACTTTAGGTTCCAATTTTGACCGTTTAGAAGGTAAGTCATGTTGTGGCGTGGATGGCCGGCTGAATTCATCATCAGAATCATCACTGTCCATCTTAAACAGAAAATGTTCACATTTAGACAGATACTAATCAAAGATGAAAAAATTAACATGATGCGTATATTGTATACTAACATCTCTCTTATCCTTTTTGGAGTCATACATGGAGCTACCCTCGCTTCCATATGACATTCTGCGAAAATCTGAAGACTTTTGTCTTGCCCGGAAGTGACGAGGCTAAAAAATAAAATAATGTGTCACACAAATAGTTGAATAGGAAACAAATGCACAAGAAGAAATTATAATAACATACCTTGTATTCCACATTTTTCCCTTCTTGGCAGCAACGAGGGCATTCCCAGCTGTTTGGTAGATCTTCATTTACAACACCTTCATAGTCTGGGAACTGCAAAATACAAAGAGAAAAATACACAAATGTGGTTTAAATTAAAGTAACAATTTTAACACGTACCACTTTTCAAATCACTCTACACACCTTCTTTCTGACACACTCTGGATGGGCAATTTCATAGCAAACACTACACTCCATCAGTGAAGATGGGGAGTCACGGTGGTTTTTCTGGACAGGTATGACTGGCCGTTGTCCCCAGCCATCCAGGCAGCACTCAGCACACGAGGCAGTCACAGGCAACATTGGTTGAAGGCACTGACGCATGACACAAGTTTGTTTTGCACGGCCCAAGCCACCAAACTTCACCATGTCCTGTGGAAATTTTTATAAGACACAACGTGACAATATTTAACACGGGCCGATTGTTTCCCAGTCGGATACTTTTTAGAGGTGCGGTAGTCCGATCGTACCTGACAGAAGGTGCACTCTCCACAGTCGGACCGCTGGCACGCCTCGCACCGCTTGCACCTCGTGCGCCGCCTGCGCGGGCCCTCCCTGCTGGACTGCTGGGCGCTCAGCGCCGAGGTGGAGGGCGGCGGCAGAGGCCTGCTCAGTTTGGGGGCCTTGGACGGCCTGCTGGGGCCCTCGTCGTCCGAGTAGCCGTTGGACGAGTGCGAGGAGCGAGCCATGGGCGGTGGCATGGAGCTCCTGGAGTAGCCGCTCGACGAGTGGCCTCGGCTCGAGTCCTGCGACACACCAAAGACAAATCAGAGATGGAACTAGTGAAACGAGCGGCAGAAATTCATACTCCCGATGATTCCAATACACACCTTCCGATCATGTTGGGGCAGTCTCAGCACGGCGCGTCCTGTGACCGCCTTTTCGGGTGAATCGTGGCGGTGTTTCTCTACCAATGTTTTCACATCCCTAATGAGCTGAATGGGATCCTGCACCAGCTCGGGTACATTCTTCTTATTAATAGGCAAAGAATGAAGATACATAACAATTGCCTTCAAACCATACAACTCCTGTAAATAAGAAAAAAAAATAATAGGTGAAAAGTTTACACCAAAAAATCTGCTTTGTGAAGCAAATTACAAATTATTTTTAAAAAGGGTAAAAATAGGCAGCCTAGACAAGACCCACATAAAAAACAAAAATACACAACTGAAAGTCAGAAAACAAAATTGTATTGAACAGTAAAACAAACCTGGGGAGTGAGGTGCAGATGCTCATCTGATACAGCCATAGGGTGCTGATATCCATCTAATATGTCTGGATCAAGGTGTGAGCGACCCAGTACACAGTGAACATATCGCTCCAAGACATACCACAACAGTTCTGTGAAGAATGGGTACCTGAATTTCTGGGGAACCTGTGATGGAATTTAAAAAAAATATTAGTTCAACACACATGTCACATTTAAATAATCAGGGTTTGTTAGATGGAAGGGTGTGTCTTACATGTGTTGTATCTTCAACCTGGGCTATCCGCAACTGTTTTTCAATGCTGAAGGCATGAAGGAAGTTCCCTCCAAAGACCAATGAATCCAAGGGAGTGTAAACTGCATGAATCCACCCAGAAGGGATGAAGAAGGTGTTACCCTCATTCAACCTCACTCGCCCACATTTGTCCACCATATCTCCAAAGAAGACATCACCCTGTTTGCCTGAGAGAACCCATTGCTCATACAGATTCAAATTTCTCTCAGTGGGAGGGATTAGCCAAAAGACCTAGGAATAAAATCAGGTATTAAGTTATTGTGGTCAGCATATACCTAGTGCCACTGAAAAAGTGTTTGATCAAAATCTTACCTTGGAGCCTTTCACTATGTGGTACCAGACAGAAGTTCCTCCAAAATCAACATGGAAATCAGTGTAGCACCCCTTTACTGACATGAGACAGTATTTCTGCACTTTGGGATACATCATTTCATCAATGGCATTTGTTGTTTCTTGCTGTTGTAACTTCAAATGTCGGGGCCACACAACATCAACCCAGTCAATCTGGCGTACAATACTAGGCGATTTTACATAATTCTCAAGCTTGGTGTGGCTGAACTCAAGTGATATGACATTCAATAGCTTGTCTTTGTCAGGATCTTCATAATATCTCTGCCATTCCTTCATGGACATTTCACAATTCTTTTGTGTATTCACATCCATAACATCCAGCATCCTTTTTGAGCCTAGACGCATGAAAAATACAATATGTAAAAATGGACAAAATATGGACAGTTTTTTTTTCTTTTTGTGTGTGTGCATGGAAATTACATTACTTACCAACACACGTCCTCACATCATTAATAGAGAAATTTTTACTGGGCACAACCATGCCCAATCCAGACTTCTCCTTAAACAGGACAGGAGTACTAAATCCATGGCGCTGTATATATTGAACAGTGAAATCTGGAACAAGAAAGAGAAAAATTAATACATATCAAAACAGCGACAAAAAAGCACAACAAAAAACGATCATTACTCATACCTTTGCCATTCATCTCTTTGACAAAATTCTGTTCATAGCGATCCGATTCCAACTTATCATCAAGTTGAAAGAGTCGCCCCCCTTCGATTTCTTCATCGGCAATAGCCCAGTCGTCAGTGTACAGTTTCGGTTTGCGGTCGCGCTGAAACAAACGACACAAAATCAGCGTCCGATAATCAATAACCACATTTTGGCTCCTGGCGTTTTCCAGGACTTTTCCGACTTTCCAGACAAAATTTTCTAAATTTCCAGGACCATTCATGAAGAAATATTAGAGACTCCTGAGACTTGATGATAAAACTATTAAAAATAATTTTAAAATTCAGGCCATGCTTAAGTCGGCTGCACTACAAACTTATGTGAATTTCCACAATGTCATATCAGGATTTGAAAATTCATACTTTGTAAAATTTAAAAATAAACTTTGAATAAAGTTCCAGGAATTCAATTTTTCCAGGACCGTCCAACTAAATTCCAGGAATATCCAGGACCATATTTTGCTTTCAGGAGTTTTCCAGGTTTTCCAGAATTGTGAGAACCATGGATAATCAATTACAACGCATCCCGACTGGTGCCAGCTTCCATGTTACAACGGGGGCAATTACCCCCCCCCCCTCCCCCCCGCACCCGGAGAAGAGACGAGACGACCAACGCCAAGGGGGTGTGGCGTAGGGTGGGCGCCAAATTCGAACAGACGGGAAATTTCCCCGTCACTTTAGTAGCCCTGCGGGAAAGAGAAACGAAAGGCAGCAGGAGGGAGAGGGGGAGAGGAGGGTCGGAAGGGATAAGTGGCGAAGAGAGGGGGAAAGGGGGAGTGGGAGGAGAAGGTTGAGGAAGGGGAGGCGCACAGGATCGGGGACCGAGGTGGAGTGGAGGCGGACCCAAGGCGGGTACGGCCGTACGACGAGGGCAGCGTACGAACTCGACGCGGACCACTCCCTCCTCGCCACGCAACCGCGGTGGGGAAGGGAGTGGCAGTCGCGGACGCAGCCAACGCTCGGAACGGGCACGGGGAGGAGAAGGGGAGCGGAGGGACACCACGGGGAAAGGAGGGGGAGGGTGGGGTGCGGAGAAGGTTGACTCTGGCTCGGTCGGTGCGGCAGAGCCGCGGCGCAGCTGCGCAGAGCGGCGGCGGGGCCGAGCCGCGGCAGGAGGGCCGAGCAGAGAGCGCGGCCGCGGCGGGCGTGGCGTCTCTCGACCCGCGCCCCGGCCCCGCGCCGCGCACACCGCGCATCGAGCTCGAGCAGCGAGCGGCACACCGACATGCCGGGCCTGGCCGGGCGGGCCGCGGGGAGGGCGAGGCGGAGACGAGGGCGAGGAGGAGGGCAGTGCGGGCCGCGGCGCGGCGCGGAGCGGAGCAGGGAGAGACCACCGCGCGGCCCGCCGCACGAGTCTCGCGCTCAGCCAGCAGCGCCAGCCGCGCCAGCCAGCTCGGCCATCGCGCCGCGGTGCCGCGGCCATGGTGGCGGGCGGACGAGATGAAAGCGGCCAGCGCCCCGGGCCGAGCCGCCCCGCCGTGCCCTCCTCCCCGCCACTCTCACCACGCCCTCGCGCCCTCCAACACCTCCAGACACAAGGCCGCCGACGACACACAACCACCTCGTCCCCACGACGGCGGCCTCCGGGCCGCCGCCAACCTGCCCGGCAGTGCCCGGCAAGCACCTGACCCAGACCGACCAGCACCATCAGCGCGGTGAAAGTCTTGCGGGCCGCGGGGCCCAGCCTCGGAGCACCCAGCCCAGCCCCCCCCCCCCTTCTTCCTGCTATGCTCCTTTTGCCACACAGGTTTCGGACCGTTCGCTGAGGTAACCATGGCTATGCCGTAAGGGACAGAGGCAGGAGTTCGAGAGGAGAGGGGTGCGCGATAACGACATGCAAATGGTAGTGGGGTGTAGAGGCTGTCGTCAAAATGCCCCGACGGGAGACAGGGGAGGGGGGCGGGGTGAGAGGACACATACAGAAGACACTTTAATCCGTTCCAAGAGGAAGCAGCTGCTGCACCTGCCGCAGCGCATCAAAGTATGAGAAATCCCAGCCGGGTTGTCCAGGTGCGCGGCGTGCACCGCTGCATCCGTCCTGTAGGCCCCACCCCGCC